AAAAAAAAAAAAAAAAAAAAAAGATTCACCCCAGCTTACAGAGGATGAAGGTGGTTAAGAAAAGGGAATTGATTTTGCTAATGCCGCATAGCAAAGAAGTGGGGCAATACATAAGGACTCCCAGATCTTTCTGTCCCAAAAGCCTGCAACCTTTCCCCTGCTAGCCAAAGTGGGTACCAGACCCTGCTTCTGGGTTCTGTTCCTAATCTCACTAGGCAAAAATGGCAGAATCAGCAAAAAAAGACCTTCCGCACCTAAGGAGCAGGGCCAAGGAGAGGGGCCCGGGGAAAGGCCATGAGGACCTGCACCCACCATTCAACCTCTTTAGGCTCGCGGTCCCTCAGGAGCTCTCGCACCTCCTGCCAGCAGCGCTCCTGGTATTCTGTGTGCCTTGTGAGGTTGTACAGAGTCCAGGAGAGGCCACTGGCCGTGGTGTCATGACCTGAGAGGCAGCCAGGCAGGCTTGGGTCTCTGGGCTGCTTCACCACCTGAGCGGTAGACAGTGCCCTCACATTGAGACCTTCAGAGAGGATGCGGGAGGGGAACGATGGGCAGAGTGGAGTGATCTAGGGTCCAGCAGCCACATCCCTGGGATGGAGAGATCCCTGTCCCCATGATAGTCCCACACTGGGACTCTCACCCTCAGCCATGAAGGTATCAGCCTCTGCTCGTATGTCCTCGTCTGACGACTCCTTCCTGTCTTCATCCTGAAGACCAAACAAGACCTCCAAAATCACGCCAGCTCTGAAGACCCCAGAGTCTAACCAAAAACAGTCCTTGAGGACCCATCATCCAATCAGGATCTCTCCCTTGTCGTCTGCAGAGCCTGCCCCACAGGCTTTCCCCATGGTCTCCTACCTCCTGTTTGCTGCTCTCAGGAAGATTTCTATAAAGTTACCACTAAAACTTTTCTCTGCCTTCTCCTTCCCTTCTTCAAGCACCTTCCGTGGCTCCCCAGTGCCCTCTGGATCAAGTTCAAGTTCTTCCATCTGACATTTGGCATTGAGGTCCACTTTACCTCTTGATTTCACACCCCAGAGAAGCTCACCTTGGCCAGCAGGAGCACATCAATGAACTCCAAAGTCTTGGCCTTGGTCTGGTGCCTCAGGAAATCATTAACACCATGGCTCACCAGGATGCAGTACCGCTACTGGATGACAGCATCTGTGAAGTCATGCACCAGGTTGCAGGCTTCATGGAAGCAACGGCCATCAGGAGTGAGGTGGTACAGGAAGTCCATGTGCAGGAAGATCTGCTGGTGCCGTTTCACTACAAGGGCGCTGAGATCCAAGATGGTGGCAATATATTCACTGGGACTCCTGCAGAACTAGCCCAGGGAGAGGACGCAGCTTCTTAACACACATGAAACCCTGGAAGCACCTCCCAGCCAGAATCCCTGGACCATATTCCACCCAGAAAAGGGTGTCCTCCAACCACACTTCCCCCTTACTCCCACTCTCTGTGAGCTTCCTCATGTCCCTGGTTTCCAGGGCAGAGCTTGGGCATCATGGTCATTTCCTCTCTCTCTCATCCAACATCTGGTCCCGCCCACTGTTCCTCAATTTCTGCCAAATCTGCCCCATTTCCACCACCAAGCTCAGACCTCCTCCTCTTCATGGTCTCCTTGCATCCTGAGTCTACAAGACAGTCCGTCCTCTATGGAGTCAAGTGTCCAAGCTCTCACCNATGAAGACTCAAGGCTGGGAGGCAGGTGACCCGGGTTCAAGTCCCAGCTCTGTGTCCTCTGCTCTGTGTACCCTTGGTCAACTCATTGCTCTCCTCTGGCTCCCACCTGTCAAATCTTCAGTAACAATTAAGTTGACCTGCTTTGACATAGATAAGCCAGATTAGAGTCCCTGCTCCATCACATGTAGCTCACTTAATAGCAGGGAAGAGATCTCTAACCTCTCTGACCCTCGGTTTCATCATCTGTAATGTGGCAATCATAATCATCTCTACCTCATACTGTTGTGAAAATTACATTAGACAACATATAACACGAAATTGGCATGTAGTTTCTGGCATACAGTAAGTGCTCAATAAATGGCAGCTACCATTATCACAATAGTACGTGATTATGGAAATGTCCCCAACTCTATTCCCTCCCTATATCTTCACCCTTTGCAAAGAGGTTTTGCAGTTCCTTCCATTAGAAGGTGGAACCTGTTTCTCTACCTCTTGAATCTGAGCTGGACTTCTG